ATAGTAGTACGGCTTTTTTCATGGCGCCTGTGGTTTTTGCCGGAAGCACGCACGCGCTTAGCAATAAGGGGTAGCATTAATTACGTGGAAGTTCACCGGCACATCCGATGAGTACGTGAAGATGACCGGCGAGCCCCTGACGACAGGCTTCTTGAGGACACACATCCCATCGTGCAGCTCCACCTCGCTCGCGTCCAGCGGCTCCATGCTGTTCTCGAGGCCGCCGCACGAGATGCGCACGTCTTTCATCGGGCACGAGCACGACGTCCCGACCTGCAGCTCGTAGAGCGGCTGCCTCTGGACTGTCCCGACGAAGGCGTAGAATCCCGTCCAGTCCGCAGCGACAGTTATGTCGGATTTGTCGCAAGATCGCTGGGCACCACCTGCATGTATACACATTACATAAGATTAAGGTGGTGTTTGGTTCTCTGGTCCTAGGACTTTTTCTAGTTCTTAGAACTTTCTGAAAAAGAATCTCAAGGAGGTGCTTCCAAGGACTTTTAGCAAAAATCCCAAAAAAGTTCCATCCTATTTGGTTTGCTAGGGATTTTTTCTAGTCCCAACACAAAAATGTCCCTGAAACCAAACACCACCTAACTAGGATAGATCTCCATGGATATGGCAAAGACTACTATGCATGCGATGGAGACGAACCTGTGCGCACTGGCAAAGAAGGGCAGCGAGGAGGAACAGGAGCGCCGCAATATTCTTGGTTTCCATGCTGGAATTCTACTCCCTTTTGTTTCCTTTTCTTGTGTATATACTTTTTCTTTTGAACCGAGTACTTTCCCCACTATGCTGGTGTCATGGCAACTCCATGGTATATATAGTGCAGTGCTGGTTGTAACAGCAAATTAAATATGCATTCGTTTCTTGATTTAATTCCTACTTAAATTGTGCATTGATTTGTTGGGTTACTAATGTGCTACTACTATGCAATTAAACAGTGTACTGCTATGTTATTTATTTGTTTCCTAAATAGTGATAAAAATGGAATTACATGGGTATATAGCGTCAATCTGGAAGGTCATAACATACGGCGTCCAATCTGCACTGATTTTCTTCTCAGTATGTAATGATTTTTTGGGGATAGATAAAGATTTTTTTTGAACCTTTTGTGCTGGATAATTTGTTCTGAACTTTTGATAAGTTATGCATACTAATATGGGATTCGATTGATTTTGGAAGTAAAATTTTGACTACCCTTTAGCCACAACGTCTTCATGCTAACTTATTGGTACACCAACTAATTAAGTACTTTTGCAAATGCTACGGAAGAACGCATACCTTAACTAAGTACTCCCTCCATTCCTAAATACAAGTCTTTATAGATATTTCACTATGGAGTATGGACCACGTACGGATGTATATAGATGCATTTTGGAGTGTAGATTCTCTCATTTTGCTCCGTATGTAGTCCATAGTGGAATCTCGACAAAGACCTATATTTATGAACGGAAGGAGTAGGAATTATGTATAAGAAGATCAACATCTATAATGTGCAAGCTATTTAGATTGTGAAGGTTATAAAGGCGCATGTGCCCCATAGTGGTTCCACCTAGGAATTATATCAAACATATGCAAAATGTGGAGCACTAATAAAACTTAAAGAGCATCATTGTGGTTTGTTGACAACCTGCTAGTTTTCCAACCACTAATTGACACTTCATGCACCTTCCAGATATCTGTTTAATATGCCTAAACTTCACTAACTTGAAGTCCATACATCTGAAGCTATAGGGTATATCCATATACTCTAAAAGCACTCTACCAAGTTACATGTAGTTAACATTAATATATATGCAAAAGCATTATAAAACATCAATGGACATAAGTAAATTGGTGGAATAATTTGAAACTAATGTTTTAACTCTTTATTTATGGTAAAACTCACTATAGAATATTTATTCTTAGATAATGTAAACTAAATGGTACATTTCATAACAAAATATAGTTTAGTGTAGCACAAGAAATATATTTGTAATGGTGAAAATGATAATTCCATGTAAAAAGGGTACAATAATATCAATGACCTTAGTTGTTAATGTTGCTAGTTATACAAGTAATGTCATTGGTGTCCATATAATTTATTGGATAATGTATCAACAAAGACAACATATAGTACTTAGTGGCTAGCTGAGTTAAGATGAGGTAATTTAAGTACATTACAAGTAGACAGATAAGTAGATTTTTAAAGCACCTTTGGGCCCACAAAATGTTTGCCGCGGCCCTGCCTTGTAGGCATCAGAGCTCACAAGTTTAACTATTTCCTGGTCTATGTATCATGATACACAAATCTAGAGACACACACTAGTTATCCATGTCGAATAAGTAGAGATTCTTGATCAAATAGAGAGACACCTGGTGGTATAGAGATGAGGCATGATGGATAAACGGGCAGAAAATCTTCAACTGAATGTGGGTGACTTATCAGCATGTGTTAAATAGGGTCAGTATATCTGCATATAGATGCGGTAAATACCCGAAGATAATAGATCACTTCCTCATTTTTGACGTACAAGTTTTCTACAAGGGATCTTACACACCGCCCCAGATGACCTCAAGAAAATAATGAAGGCCAAGCCCGTGACACCTTACCACCCTTTCCACTCTTCCTGGTTGACCCGGGCCGCAACTACATCTCCTTCCATCACTCTAAATCCTCCCTCCCTGCGCTGCCGCCCAAGCTCTTCCTTGGTTCCACCATAGTCAACAATGTGTTGCTGCTAGCTGTGGATCGATCGATGAGCACCTCCAAAAGATCAAGCCGGCAAATCTTGAAATTGATTAAGAAACCACATACACCTCTCTATTGACGGAAACATTGCTTCTCAGTGAAAGAATATTCTTTCTTTATAAGATGCATAAGTGTCAAACCTGAGGTTTGATCACTAGTGGGTTGAGATGCAACAATCCTCCTAACCATCAACCCGCAGGTTGGTTCTCGAGGTGCTAGGTGCCCCATGTTATTGGCCTGGCCGCGTTTGCGGCCCGGATTCTCGACAACATGGGATCGGTAGAAATGATAGGCATCCATATGCGCTTCTTGACAACATGTGTAACGAGGGAAGGGTTCTAATTGTGTGACTAGGTCCAACAGGACTATACGTCTGTGCTATTGTGCGCTGATGGAATGACAAGTGATGGAAACACAGGGCAACATTGGCTAGGTCGTTCTTTTTAAGTGCATGGGCTCGAGTTCCAGGGGTGAAAAATCTAGGTCTGACCACCATTGGCCGTACCTGACAATGGCGTCATTCACGCGGTGTGCCCTCCTTGAAGACATTGCATAGAGTTTATTTAAACTCCTCTCCAGGATGAAACCCCCATGATCTAGCCTCAGTGGTTTGGTCGAGCAACGACAATGCTCGTTTGTCATCATTCCCATTTCTGGAGGCATCATTGTTGGAGCACCTACCATGTTACCCGGGATTGCTATCATCAAATGGTCTTGCAACCTCACCTAATCTAATAAAAAATGCAAAAAATCTTTTTGGAAAGAGAAAACTAGGAACTATTCAAAGATGGTCAACTATTCAAAATTCTTTCGAAGAATTCGTTTGTATTACCTTTCATAGGAATTTTAGCATGCACTCAAATCTCTTGAAAGAATCCAACCAAACAAACCAAAATCATGTACTTCCTCCGTTTCAAAATATAAGTCTTTTTAGAGATTTCAAATGGACTACCACATACGGATGTATATGGACATATTTTAGAGCGTAGATTCAACAATTTTGCTCCATATATAGTCACTTGTTGAAATCTCTAGAAAGTCCGATATTTAGGAACGGAGGGAGTATGATTCAGATGAGCATGACATCGCAATCCTATGTTTTTACTATTCCTGCGATTTTTTTATTCTTCTGAATCAAAGGGACCCTAACCATCGCAAAAAGGAGATAACAGAACATTTAACACCCATCTTTCGAGAGAAAACAACATTTTACACATGTAGTGACTGAACTTTAATAAGAAAATTATAGGTCAAACATACGTAGAGTTTAACATCGGCATATTAGCTCCTTGGCTGAACAAAAACCAAGGCAATGCTGCCATCTTCTTGACGCTGCAAAAACCTCTGTCCAGTTTTCGATTCTGCCTCCTCCATAGCTTTGGCATCCATGTAATGGCACTGGCTGCAGGGCCCAAGAACCTTCAGCTCAACACCGTCAGGGACCTTTGGCTCGATGTATCGCCTTACATCAGCGAGCTCCTTCTCAGCATCCCGGAGAGCTTTCATGCACATCGGCAAGCACCTGTCGAAGGTGGACAACTTTCTGTCGTAGCCGGGGGAGGTGTCCAGGACGAGGCATTGCAACGAGGATGCCGCCCGCTCGAGGATGTGGTATGTTAATTAGCTCGACAAGGCTCTTGGCAGAGCAGAAGCCTGTGATGGTCGCCTTCCTAAGGTTTACAAGGCCGCCCTGATAGAATCCAGGGAGCTCTATCCTGGATTACAATGGATTTTCATCTGGTTTCCCGTAAATAAGGTACTTCTTGTACCATCCGAAACCATCTTCAATCTGCAGACATGAATGTATTTCTAGGATTAATTTGTTGTTCATAAGAAATAAAAAAACCTGATGCTGGTGGCAGATTTATTTCAATCTATTATGTACCATTACAAACATCATCGTTTGTAATGGGCAAGCCATTAACCTATTGATAAGATGCATGTAAATGTTCTTAAACATATGGAGGAGATGGTCAAGAAGCACTTACACGTAAGATGAAAGTCTCCAACGCAACACAAGCATCAAGAAAAGAAGCCAGACAAAGGAAGTCATAGCCTGTGCAGAATTCACCACATTCACCAAGGCAGATAACGAGATGCTTGAGGTGCTTAAATGTGTCGGTCATTGCAGGTGCCTTCAGCTTCTAAAAATAACAAACATCATCATCATAATATTGATTCCCATTTTTATGATTCTATCATCTACATAGTTGCACATCCACCATATAATTTTAATGTGGGTCGTACTTACCTCATGAAATGTTCACAGCACAAGCGTTTCAAGGTTTGGTGCAATGGATGGCAAATTGCTGCCTGCATACTGGAGCATGTCCTGCATGTGTGCGGCGTGCATGTCCAACTCCTCCGTCTCCAATGAGTCTCCGAGTGTGAATCTCGACAACCGCCGTCCTTCGTAGCTAAAGGTGGAGAGCTTCAGAGCATGGCTTTCGATCACCCCCAGCTCTCTGCACATTCTCACCCACACTGTTTTGAGCTTCCGTAGAACATGGGGTATCTTCAGGTAGGTTATCATGTCGCAGTTTGAGAGATCCAGCCGCTCTAGAGAGAAGCAGCTAGAAAGAAAAAACCATATTTCATTCCCAGTGACACCGACCTTGCACAATCGCAGTCTCGATAAGCTCCAAGAGAAAGCAAGCATCCTTGGGTCGTCTGTGGGTGTGGGATGGAAGCCACATGAGCTGAGGTAAAGAGACTTAAGAACTGAGGGCATTCTGCTGTTGGCCACATCATCATTTAACAGAAGCGAGTATGGAAAGCTGTATTCAAATGCATAGCAATCAGGCAGCAACACAGCGAGGTCGACGATTCCGGGCTTCACAAAGGCTTGGAGCCAGCCAGCCAGAAGGCTGGTGTCGATGTCTTTCTTGCAACAGGTGGAGAGGTGAAGCTTGAGCGTCTTCACTCCAATGCCTGAGTGGTTCTCAAGCACCTCTTGTGCTTTCCTGAAAATATACTTGCCTCTATCTTCACCCCGAAAAAAAGGTTGTCTGCCCACGGCCAAAGTTTCCGGATTGAATACCAGCTTGGGGAAGCACCTCCAGAAATGTAGAAATCTCTGAGACACACATGTTGTGCGAGCTGCATCTCGCATTGTCAACAAGGAATATATGTGCCGCAAGATATCCTGCACAAGATGTACAAGTAGCAAAAGGTTACCATATATATTTGCTAATTAGTGAAAGTTAGATACGAATAAAAGATCAAGGATGTAGGTAGATAGATATCAATAAAAGTTCAAATATGTAGGTTGTGATTTTTTAGGCCCTCCAATAAAATCCGTGCAATAAATAATACTCCCTCCACTCCCAAATAAGTGCTCGTCTAGCTTTATCCTAACTCCTAAGTCAGACTATCTTACTGACACCAAACTGATGTACAATATGAAAATATATTTAATGATGCCTATTGGTATTATAAATTCTGATCAAACTTAAGATTGGAAACCTAAAAATGCATGAATTTTTAGGACGGAAGGAGTAACTAATTTACCACAAATGAAACACTGGCTGTTGGCAACAGTTGAGTAATTGGCTGCGATATATTATACCTCTGGAAGCTCAATGTGTGATATCATGCTGCTGGAACTGGAAGAGCCTACGGTCGCTTGGTGAGTTTGATTGCTGCAGGGTGAGCCATTTGTTCCGTTTACTGGAAAAAACAAGGCAATGATCGAGATGTCATAACATCAAGGAAGAAGCAGGCATCATATTTAGATCGATAGCCCGCCTGAATCCGCTTAACTTCCTAATTGGAATGAATCCCGCTCTAATTAGAAGATAAAAATAGATTAGTGCCACACATAATGAACCTTCCTTCAGTCACACGAGAAGAGCTATCGGTGTCTAAATGAATAGAGAAATACAATCAACACCTGACAGTGGTCTAAATTTGTGCTTCCCATTCCGTGAGCACTTCTTAAGGATTATAAACGAATAAAAAAACACAATCAACACCTGAAAGTGGTCTAAATTTGTGTTTCCCACTACATGGTATATCTCATTCAGTTCGGGGATCCCTTTAGCATAAGGAAAACTCTTGTTTTCCACCGGATG